TGAATATAAATATATATATATATATATATATATATATATATATATATATATGAGAATTTGGTCATCAATATATTAATTACTTTAAATTTCTTAAGCGTTATGTTACATGTTGTTTTAAAAAATTATTAATGATTGATATAAAACAATTAAATATTTGTTATATGAGTATTAAATGACAATAAATGTTTTCTTAAAGAAATAAATGTATGTAGTGACAAGTAGCTTAGTGGCTATAAATTGAAAGGTGTAAAGAGGATGTGAATGTGGTGAAAGAGTGTTTGAGAATGGGGAATGATGAGGTTGTGTTGGTGGATTTCAATCTGAGTATGTTCTGTGTAAGAGTGAAGATTGCTTTAGCAGAGAAAGGTGTTGAGTTTGAGAACAGGGAAGAGGATCTGGAGAACACAAAGAGTGAACTGCTTCTGCAAATGAATCCTGTTTACAAAAAGGTTCCTGTTCTTATCCACAATGGTAAGCCAATCTCAGAATCTCTGATAATTGTTGAATATATTGATGAGATTTGGAGTGATAGGACTCCTCTTTTGCCCACTCATCCCTATCAGAGAGCTCAAGCAAGGTTCTGGGCTCATTTTGTTGACCATAAGGTAACCTCACTTCTTATTTTTCAATGATCTCATTTTTTATTTTCCAAAATCCTTCAGGCAATCACTTTCTGACAATGAGATATGCAGGTGCATGAAGTTGCAAAGAGGATGTGGACTGGGAAGAGAGGTGAACATGAGGAAGATAAGAAGGAGTTAGTAGAGAATTTGAAGCAATTGGAAGAGGCTCTTGGGGACATGCCATATTTTGGAGGTCAGACATTTGGGTTTGTTGATATTGCTCTCATTCCCTTTTACAAATGGTTCTCTATTTATGAGAAAATTGGGAACTTCAAGCTCAACTGTCCAAAACTCACTTCTTGGGCAAACAGATGTTTGGTCAAACAAACTGTCTCCAAATTTGTTTCTGATGAGAAGGATGTCTATGACTTTGTTATCAGATATAGGAAAACAATTGGGGTGGACTGAGAGATACAGAGACCAATCAAGAACAATGATAAAATGCTGAGTATGGGAAGTTTGTGCTTGGCCCAAATAATTATGCAATAAACTCAAGTGAATTCAGCTAGTCGGTTTGGCTTAGCTGCTTAAAATATCTTTGCACTTTTCCTTTGCTTTTATATGAATGCTTAAAATATACATAAAATCTTTGACTAAATAAATAACCATACTTTAAAATTGACGGATCTTTGATGATAATATCCCCATTTATAAATTAACTTGGTTCGGAAGCCAGACATGTCTTCAGCCAAAAGGGGATACTACAAACCTGGGCATTATCTGATGGAAAAACTTTAAGATTAAATGTCATGCTAATCCAGAGTTACCCATTATCATGTAAATGTTCCATAGCAAACAATCTTGTATAGTCATATCTCATTCTAAAAATAAGCTCAGTCAAAAAAAAATAAAATTGAGGAAACAATTACATTGAACCATTGTGTAAAATACAGACAAGATGATGAAAAAATGGGTCCTAAGATTCGAGCTTACAGTGCAAAAACAAATTTGAGATTGAGAGGTGACCTGATAGTAATCTTCCCATAATATTGCGCATGAAGATTAACTCCTTATGTATTCTAAACTTGCTTTACATCCTTATTAACCCTCCATAAAAACCTCTGGGACGATCAGCCTCCTTGATCTTTACAGAGCAAAGACTGCTATTGCCTCAATAACCGTCATCAGAATTCGTAGAAGCCAAGGATCTAAATCAGGCCCACAGACACTAATGGATACCAAGCGACTGCTCGTTCAGTAGTTTTCTTACTTGATAGGATACAGATTCAAAAGCTCCTATGGCATCTTCATATGGATTTTCAACCTTTGTTCCAACAAAGCTTGCAACGGAGGCTCTTTTAAATGTTGCCCAGTTATGGTTTTATTCTGCAAATCCTCACATCAGCACTTGTATTCTGCAAATCAAAGTTCCATCCCACAGGGTATTTACCCCGTCTAAGGTTCACAGAAATGCTTTCTTAACTACCGTCAGATACTCATCCAAGCCATGCAGATCGCAATCTGACTCTAATTTATTCTTGTAGAATTTCCTCTTGTTGAAATTCTCATGTTCGACCTTTTGTTCCAATACATTCTTAATTACATGTTGAAGCCTCTTCGTCCAGTTGACCTCCAACCTTTCTATTTTGTCCTACGCGTGCCCCAATCTGTTCTCCATGCTAGAAAAAAATTCTGCTCTCAGTTCAGGCTTCCATTCATTCCAGTTTTTCGTCCAACAGATCCATCCTTCTTGTTGCAGAAGTCATGGTTTATTTAGCAAATACCAAGTCCAGTGTCCTCCAGAGCACAAAGATGCTAGAGAGAAAAAATTAGGGGAACTTCTACTGGAACAAAGGCACCTATGCAAAAGGTTCCTGAACCCATCCTTTTTTATGGCACACTGTACAACAGATGCCAACTGTTTCTGCCAAGTACATGAAAACATTACGTCAGAGTAAATCAAATGCCAAAAGTTATGCAATGTTTCTTTATTTGAATCTTCCCAGACATTGAACATTAGTACAAATAATTTTCAAGTACCCAATAGGCAAGGAGGACTATTAGTAACAACGAACTTTTAAACCATCAGGAAAGATTGAAAAAGTCGTGTACCTGTTCAGGTGAAAACAGGAGAATCATGAAAACAAGTTGCACAATTCCAGCAGTGCCCACACGTCAATTTTAGAGGATTTGGCCCAAGTAGTTCCCGTGTGCAGCTCTCAATTCGCAATTATCTAGTGAATTGGGTCAGAAAGAAATGCGAGAATCTTTACTGGTCATTGTTTGACTCTTGAATTCATTCGGGATTGTGTAGTTCACGTAGCTTCTTTGTGGAATTCTGCTAATGGTTATTATTAGACCTTCGACATATTGCATGTTACTTGTTCATACTTCTTCCTTTTTTACATGATATATTTAAGGATTCTTTTTACCCTATAGCATATGTATAATGTACCTATCTCTTCAATCTTAACGAATTTTGTTTTAAAAAAAGCAACAAATACGGATCAACAAGAACAAAAGATAAAAAGATGAACCTTATTTGTGATTCTGATGGGCTTAATTGAATCGTAGTACATATAACAGTTAACCGGGAGACAGTGCCTAAAGATCCCAACCAACTTCATGTCCCTTTCTACAGGTCTGCTCTACCACTTCAATAACATGCAGCATAAGTTGCTGTAGCTATTGAAAATAGACAAGTATTTTGCCAAACATAATGTTGCTGTAGCTATTGAAAATACGACTACTGATATTCCGAAATATGTCTTGTCCTGACTTTTGTTCGCCAAAATTGAACACAATTTATCATGTTGGAGCTGTGGAATAGGACTTAGGCATAAGACATACAATACAACTTCCATTATTGTGAGGTACAAGTACATTAACTAGAGCAAAGGATGTAAAATGATAAAAAGCCCATTATTATTTCCCTCTAAAGTCTAAATGGCATAGCAAATGACAGACATAAAAATGTAGGGTTGAACCAAGTATAAAGGAAAAATAAACGTTTTGCTAGAAAGGAAATTGAAAAGGCAAGGGTTGTAATGTATCTACCTTCTGAGATGTAAGTTTCTCTCACATATGTTATTTGTTTTACATGGTGAATTTCTCATCTGGAAGAATAGATTAAGTATTAACAGCACCGATGAACAGATTAAGGAGAGAAATTGTGGCGAAAAATGCATTATAAACCCTCAATCAATTTATGTATTTACCAGTTTAAAGAGTAAGTCACTAGGCTTGATAAACAATGCTAATATATGAATATTCAAAAATCACATCCAGTAGTTTGACCTATATTAAGAAAACATGTCACACTTCAACAGAAGACAATTAAAACAAATGAAATATAACATTAAATGAATGTTTTGAAATTTTAGCTTATGTTCTTTATGCTTTTTTGGCAAATACTGGGCATATTGTGGAATCACATCCAATAACTAGCATATTGTAATGATAAACAAGCCCAATATAACATTCAAAATCACACCCTGTAGTTTGATCTATAATAATAAAATTTCCCATTTCAACAGAAGAAAATTAAAAGAAATGAAATATAACATTAAATCAATGTTTTGAAAATTTAGCTTATTGTTCTTAGTGAATGATTCGTCATACTTTTATGGCAAATGCTAGGTATGCTTGGATCATTATTCATTAACATCAATTGCTTAATTTTTCTGGCAAACGCTAGGTATGTTTTGTAAAGCGGCAAAGTACCTGTGCCAATGTTTTTGTTAATAGATTTAGTTGTTGGAGCCGAAGTAAAGAGGCAGAGTATATATGCACTTTGCAATATGTGCTACTTCTGCATTTGATGTGACCATAATGATAATTTTCAAGGTTTCTTTAGATTAGCATCTGACTTAAGACAACATTAGGCACTTAATTTGATAATTCTTAGGTTTCATCTTAAAATCAATTGACATTAATTAAGTGAAGTTCCCCAATAAGTATATAAAGTACGCAATGAGGAAATTTTTAACACCCCCCTTCACACATGTCTATTGGACCAAACGATACATGAAGAAAACTATGAAAACAATAAAAATCCCCTTCCACAAACCCCAGAATCAACAAATGTGGGCTATGGCCTCTAGTACCAAGTTGAAAAGGAATGAAGTTTCAAATATTATCATTGATATCAAATACAAGCACTACTATACTAATTTAATCTACTAATATTGGCTAATCACAATAGACATATAATGTCCTAGTAATTACAGGCTATCAGTTTGAGAAATTTGCGCAGGAAACATTCTGTCCTAAATTAATGCTAATCAAGTATTTACAACAGATAGCAGACCTGTGATCAAGCAGGTTTATGTTAGAATAAAGGTGAATGGGGCATGCACCTAATTAGGCCCATTAAGGATGGGTTACAGTTATAAACTGTAGATAAATAGTTGCCTATAAAATAGGATGACTGTAAATGGTTTGATGGGACTTTTGGTGATTAAGAAACTGAAGTAAGAAGTGGATCCACACCTCATTAAATATCTAGAATCGTGCATTACTCCCTGGGGAACTTCTCCCTGGTTTTATTCAATACAGAAATGTTCTTTCTCGTCATATTGATACCAGTTCCATCAACTAAAAAATGGGCAAAGTTGGCAGGGTGACTGGCATTGCAGTGTCCACCAAACACTAGTCAAAGGGTTAGTGCACAGCTAGCCCGCATGGACACCAAGGCTAGAGAGCGTAGTGGAATGTCAAGATCCAAATTCCAATTGCATGTTTAGTGTGGGGTTTATAAGGCCCTGGGCTCTTCAACTACAACAACTAGCTTATGTGGTGTTGTTCTCTGCAGATTCCTTTCATAATTTCTATCAAACATTAAGCACATGGCCTCTCGATAACGAATAAGCAACTTGAGCAGAGTGGTGTTGGCGTTCACCCAAGACTGGTCAAAAAGTTCGCGCATAACTTGTTGGGGCTGCTAAACATAGAAAGATGTTAGGATCCAATTGCAATTTTAGTGCGGGGTCACCTTGAACAGTGGGATCTCTTTTCAACTATAGTAGCTGGCTTTTGTGGTCTGGTTCTCTCAAAGTTCTTATCATAACTTCTATTCAGCATAAAGTACACGGCCTCTTTAAGAAATTTCCTAACAAATATGAAAATTTGCAAATGGATTAGCAGCTTGCTCCGTCCTTCCAGCAATGCTTTCTGTTTTTATTTGTTGTTCTGATTTTCCTTTTCCATCATGGAGGATCCATTATTACCTGATTCCAGTGTAAATTTGCTCTCTCCATGTTTCCAAGTTCTTCTTTCATCCTCCAGCAAATAAACTTTTTGAGATACAAACACAAATGAGTGCTAATGGTTAACACCACCAATAGTTTCCAACGGATTTCTATTTTTGATAGAACCAGAGACAACATTTCAAGGATTAGTAAAGCTTTCTTTTAGCAGAAGAAGAAAAAATTATATAATTATGAAGGATAAACATGGGTGGCAGGAATAAGGTTCAATAATAATAATCAATTCTCAAACTCAAATAACTCACCAAAATTTCCCATACAAGGGAAAGAGTTCATTCTATCTTTGACTCAATGAAATGTATTGGGTAGGTTCGGGAGTCTAAGGCACTTCTCAACAATATTGCGGGGTTGGAATGAATCAATGCCACCAAATAGGGTAATTCCATTCTCAAGACCCCACCTATCTTCTTTGTTCTGCATCCACCCATTTTGAGCCTGAGTTGCCTTCTTTGTTGTTGGGATTGTTTTACTCTCCTGAGGATACTCATCATCGCAAGATTTTGAGTTGTTGACCCCATCATCAAGCTCTTCTATAGCATGTATTCTCACCCACCTCCCTAACCACTTTGATTCTTCCCACTTTTGTTTGGATTCAAGTTTAAAATTTTAATATCATCTCCATATTTGCATGACTTCATCAGGTTTCCGGAAACCTGTGAGCAATACGCTGCACTAGCTTTTATGAATAAATTATTTACTAAATTATTAATTACATTTTAATTCAAAAAATATAAAAAAAAAAGCAACAACAAAGAGTAATAAAATTTGACTCAAAATATTGGAGTATATCTGTGTAGCTATATGTGCTCAAGCAATTATTTCCTCTCAAAGTTGAAGTGGTTTCAAGATTCTTTCCCCAGTCTACCATCATTATTTCCAAGATACGTGACTCTAAAGATCAAGATCCTGACCAAGTCCTTCACTACCATCATTATTTCTAAGATATGTGATTCTAAAGATCAAAGTTGGACACTATGCTCAGGTTAATTTTTGTAATGCTTCATCCATCTTCTTGCTCCCTGAATTTGGACTCAGTAGATCAGACTAATGAATAGAAATTGGGAGAAAATAACATGAAAGATGGATAGAAAGAAATTAAAAGAACAGAACTTTATTGAGGAGCAGAACAAAAATGTAAAATAGAATTCTCTTCAAGGGATTTCTCCTACACAAAGGATCACTCCTTCTCCTTTTCACTTGAAAAAATTTACAAAAATAACTCTCGCCAAATCTAAGTCCCTATTTACAATCAAACTAACTAGCTAACTGGTCCAACTAAATAATGTAATAATGGATTAGCAGCCTTCCTTATTCACCTCTCATTATGCATCCTAACAACAGGGGGTGATAGTGTCTAGTGTCTACCACAACCACAAGAAAGCAGATGCATAAACAAGCAGTTGAACCAAAAGAGGAACTCGCTGAAATGCAGCAGTTTGAAGATAACAAAAAAAACAAAATGAATGGTTGAAATCATCATTATTAAAAAAGTCAGCAAATGGTGGTAAACAATTCTGTATACCTGGCCTTTCAAAAGGCAATATTCCAAGTTCATCGACTCATGTTTTGAATGAAGGCAAGAAATAAGTTAAGCACTTATACATTATATATCCTCCCTCCATCACTCCCACTGATTTGGATCGATCTTATTATGTCAAGAAACCTGTTGTGCTTCTTTCAAGGGATCCCATTCCCACGGACTCTGGAAGTAGGATTCAAGACACTTATGAAAGAAACTGTGCACTGCACTTCTAGGTTATCATTTCAGTCTCTATATAAAGTAAATCAGCCATCCATTACATACAGGAAGCTACCGGACAGATTAATCCAAACTGACAATAGCTGCCTAACCAACGTTCTTTTCTTGTTTATGTGTGTGCTACCACCAAAACTGTGACCAGAAAAGAGAAAAAGGAAAAAAAAAACATGGGAATTTTGAATCCTATTGAGACAAGGTATAAGAAAGATTTTCCTCTTCTATTCAATCAGAATTCAAGGCAAGGAGTAACTATGGTGGAAATATTAACTACAACATGTCCAGAAAATGGAGGCAACCAGACACACAACTACTGGTGAAGCAGATTGATAAAGATAGATCAACTACACAAAAGCACATCCATTCCATACAACATACAGCTAATATCCAATTATTCACTTTTGAAATGACATATTGTTGCATCATATAATCTATCACAACATGGCATGCAATGACTGCATTTGAATTTGGTAAAACACAAGTAACATTGTTTGATATTTCAATATTCCAATGATGCAACCAGCCACCCCACAAACTAACCCTACCCAAAAAACTCACAAGAATCAATTCCACAACACCATAACAACAACCAATTCATCATTCCAAATCTTATTGCAATGTTTAATAGCAATGGATTGGACGAAGAAGTACACTATTAGGCGCCGCGCCGCCGTCCACCAGCAGAAACATCCCCGTTCAGTTCCTCGTCTTGCTCCCGAGCGAGGATCTCCGCAAGATGCTCCAGGGCCTCCTTGGCCCTCTTCCTGGCCACAGCTGCCTCCCTAGCACGGCGCTCGGCGTCGAAGCGCGCCGCAGCAGCAGCCTTGCTCATGGAGAGGGCCGCGATCCGCGCTGCGGCAACGAGGACCTTGGCGGATTGGACATCTACTGCTCCAGTCTTGCGGTCGGGGGGACTGAAGAAGGTGAAATTGCCGTCGAGACAAATAGGACAAAAGAAAGGTGGTGTGGACTCAGCAGAGGTGGTGGAGGGGAAGACACAAGATCTGTGGGCGATGGAGGGGCAGCGGACGCACATGAGGCGGTGGTGCGGAGCGAGGAGAGAGTCTTCGTGGAGGTCGAAGCAGATAGGGCAGAAGAGGCCAGGGTGCTGCTTGAGGACACAGTTAGTGCAGTAGCGACGGGTGTGAGCACGGTGGCGGATGTTGTGGATGGTGAGAGATAGGGTTTGTGTGGCACCACAGATGTCACAGTTCGACGGAAAGGCTTGCCGAGAGTTCATGGCGGAGGACGGAGAGATAACCTCCGTACGAACGTGTCCAGTTCCAACGGTAACCCTAGAGATTCAAGACTGAAAAGAACTAGAATTGGGAAAATGGTGGGAACTACTAAGGGATTATTTCACCAACTGTTTTATTTTCTTTTAATCTCTTATTGTTAGCTTAATCATTATGATTTCTTTATCTATCTAAAATTGTTAAAATATAGGTTAATTGTTTATTTAAATCATCATTAACTCGAGTTTATAAATAATCAGTCCATAAGTAAAGTTTGGTTTTAAGGAAGTATGATTAAGGACACAATCTTTAACGTGCAAATATTTTAAGATCTAGCAAAACATGAAATTGAATTTTCTCCTTAAACTGAGTTTAATTCTTTAAACAGAATACAAGCCTACACCTTTTTCGCCAAATTCATCCTAACCAATTACAAGGGGAAAAAATGAGTTTATTTACAAGATAAAAAATAACTTATTTGTATATTAAAAAATAATAATTTAGGAAAACTATATGAAAATTTTATAAGATTTAGCTTTAGAGAAAAATATGTTTTTATTTTGTTCACTTAAAATTTGTTTTATAAAATACTCTTGATTGTTTAATTGTGAAAAAAAAATGATAACTTGAACTGCTTGGCAATGTAACACTTTCAGTGAATATTTTATATTGTGGTCTAGTAATGGCAATGAAAAAAATTGTATATAATAATTTTTCTACTGTGTGTTGAACTTATTTAAATAGATTTAAAAAATGAAATTAAAATGTCCTTTTTCACAGAGTAATAATACCACAAAAATTTTACCTAATGCATGTGTTGGAAAGATTATTTAATGACGTGAGTTATGATTAATTGTGTATTTAATATTCTTTTCTTATGTGTAATCAACATGACTTTATTTAGATGATAAAAACTAGCATCATTAAATTATTTATATTATCATTACCATTAATTATTAATTATTAATTATTAATTGCTAATAAAGGAAATTTATTTTCTTATGTACTTAATTTTCTTATAATTTTACTTTTCAAATTGAAATAAATATTTTTTATAATTTTATCATTTTAATAACTATTTTTTAAATTTAAGTAATTATTCAAAACAACAAATTAATTTATAATTTCACTTTTTTAGTAACTAGATTTCTTTAATTCAAATGATTATCCATGATAAAAAATAATTTACACAACAAAAAATGTCACAAAAATTATTTTTTTATAATTAGTTTTTATAAAATAAAATTTTATAATTTATTAATACTTTTTATTTTAAAAATTCAAAACCATTTCATAATTTAATAAATTTTTGCTATAGTAAAAGTAAATAACACACGTACGTATGTATTTCCACTATTATAATTAATGAAAAAAAATCTCTTCATTTATAATTTATATTTATTTAAAGTATTTTTCAAAACTTTTTTATTACATTTTTCATCTTGTTGTTATTTTAATTTATTATCTTTACACATTTTTCCTAAATATACAAACACTTACAAAAAAAATGAGAAAAAACTGCATATTTAAATTTGTGTAACATTGCATTATATGCAAAACAATTAACTTTTAACTTTTGATTATTATTATTTATTCGTATACAATAATAAATTTAATTTTAAATGGTTTGATAGATAGTTTAAGGATTTGAAAATATTTATGAAAAAAAATACTCTAACTAATAAACAAATATTAGTTAAACAAATTAATTAATATTCTATTTTCATTTTCTATTTAAATAAATACATAAAATACACATACATACTTTTTTTTCAATTCTTAGTAATATTTTAGAAAAGAAATGAAAATATAGCCATTAGTAAAGATTTAAAAAAAGCGTACCTTAATATTTTTTAACTATATTATATATTTTGTTTATTTTAGTTTTATCTACATGAAAAAAATTTAAAAAAAACGTACCTTAAAATTTTTAGTAATATTTTAGTTTTAACTACATATGCAAAAAATTGACACCTTATTTAATTTTATCATCCTGTCTATTTGTCATGTCTCTTTTTAAGTTTTTGTTAAACCTGATTTCTTTCTTTCTTTATCGAGTTATTGTTTTTTTTTTTTTTTTCAAAAGTACAAATACTTTAAAAATTGTATAAAATAGTTCATATATATATATATATATATATTTTAATTCTGCAGGATAAAAACTAACATCCAATTTAATTATATTATTAATGTCAGTGTTTATTTGAATTTATTATTTTGAAATTTCATGAGCCAAGAAACTTATTATCTTAATATGTGAAGCTTGAGGAATGCTAATCTAACCCACTTACATATTTTTGGAACAATCTCATTTGATTATTTTATCGATTAATCTAACTCATTTAAGTATTTGGAACAATTTCATTTGATTATTTTATCTGTCCAAACAAAGTTTTACATCAAATAAAATAAAAGATGAATAAAATAAAAGATGAACATGTATATAAAATACTTTAATTGGTTTGTTTTATATCCAATACAATAAAAGATAAACATGTATTTATATATATACAATAAAGGTTAAACATGTATTTATATACATATAAAATGGTATTAAGTTTTCTCAGAGGAAAACCATGTTTCTTGTCGCATACATCCACTGTATGTCCGAAATTCCCACTGTGTGTATTCATGTTGGTAGGAAATTTTTTTTTCCTTAAAACAAACTTGTATGTCATGTCTTTCCAAAAAAGAATAAGTAATAATGTTTACGACAACAATGTTTTTAACCTCAGAATTAGAGAAAAAAATTATTCCCTATTAAATGTCTTTCTTGTTGAAAACACAATTTTTTTTAATGGGTACAGGTGGATGCATCAGCATGACATCGGATCTGTCATTTAATCCTCTTAAAAATTACATGGATTTATTTCGTGAATGATAATTGGCAAAATCGAGAACTGGGGAGACCAAAACGGTGGCTGGATTTTTTCTAGAATCATTATTTTCTTCAGTTATATCTTGAAAACCAAAGAAAGCAAGGCAGGTAAAAAGGAATGAAAGACGAAAAGAAGGAAAGAATCAACAACACGCATCAGAGCTCTTCTGAAGAAGAACTTTGATACCATCTTAGATATTACACCTTCTTTCTTGATCACACGTGAGAGAACTGATCTTGCTTGATAGGTAGCGATGATTCATCATGATATGATATGAAGAGCAGAACAAGAAAAGGAAAAAAAAATGTATTGATATGTGATGTGCGTTGCTCAATACTGAAAATAATTATCACCAAGAAAAATTCATTGAGACGTGCAGGTCTAATATTTTTTAAAAATTATCCTTGATATGTTGTGTAAGTTTCTCAACATACAACAAAATTTTTCTGAAAATTTCAAGAACATGACAGTATCTTTTTAGCAACATAATAACCTATTTGAGGAAAATATCAAATTATATACTTGATATGTATTATAATTTTATCAATCATAAAATACCCCACAATCCTTATTATTATTGGTTTGGACATACAATCAATGTTTATGAGTGTTTTAGAGGTAGTGTCAGGTGTCGTGATATCATGAAGAGAAACTTATTGAACATAAAGTAGAATGTATTGATTTTTAATTATTACCTTTTTATTTTTCGTGATACATCTTAGTTTTCAAATTTTAAAAATAAATTAATATAATATTTTTAATCTAATTTCATTAATTTTTTTGCTTGTTAGGTTTAACATTTTCGTATAAATAATTCAAATGTATTTTAATATGTCAAAATCATTTAACATAGATTAAAATAATTATATTCACCCACTTTTAAAGTTTGAAACTAAAATATATTAAAGTTTCGTAAAAAACAAATTTAAATTTAGCATCTAAATTTATCTACTAAAAATATATTTAAACCTTACTATATAAACTCAAAAGATAAATTACATTTATATCTTTATAAAAAATAGATAAATAAATAAAATAATGTGTAAAATAATTAATTTTACCAATAAAAATACAAGAAATTTCAAACGCAGAATATAATAACAATTATGTGGAAAGTTAATAAATATACATTGAAATTATTAAAAAAATATTTAATTATATTTTTAGTTCCTATATTTTACAAAATCTATGATTTTAATTTTTATTTTTTCTTGTTTTTTAATTATACCATATTTTTTATTATGAATATTTGTTATATAAGTAATTTTATTTAATTTCTATTTTAGTTTTGAAATTAAAATCATATTATTTGGTATTACAATGTTCATAGGCTAAAATAAATAAATTTATAAAAATCAAATTCAAACATTTTTCATTATTTTATATTAAAAAAAGTATTTAAGCTTATATATTTAAAAAAAAAAACAGCTGGCCATTAGATATTTGAATACAAAGGAAGGACCCTCTGGTCAAGAACGGAAGAAAAATTTTCTTTTCATGTTTCTAAGGAAAGAAAGCAGAGCGGGTTTTGAATTTTGAGACGCATTTGGTTGATTTGAGGGACGAAGCATAGCACAGCTACAGCCTCCATGGATGCGGAGGACTGGGATTTGAGTGCAGAGGACCTCGATTCCCTCGAAAGAGACGCTTTCCAGAAGATTGCTCAACTACGCAACCCTCCTCCTCCTCCTTCTCCACACCAACATCACAATTCTGCAACGGCAACAACGAATCACTTCCCACCAAAACCCCTTCCTAATTCGCTTCCCCAAACTGTAAAGTTATTATCTTTTCTCGTTGCCGTTACATTGAGAGTCATGGGTCCTTTTTTTTTTGTATGTGAAGGTTAACTTAGTGATTTTGATGATAAGTATTCATGCCTATGTTATGTCCCATTTAAAATGAAGCAACCTAGAGGAAGAAGCCTAAGCTGTTTGATATAACTATTATTTTACTTTATTTTTATGAATTATGAAGTTATGAAGTATATATGACATTTTTGGTAGAAACACTGCTGTGTGTCTTAGTTTTATTGCTCCAATCCAGGTTGGTCCTTCGTCTCAAGGAGCAAGAGCATTGCCCACGTCGTTGAAATCAGGGACAAACAACGGTGTGCTTACCGTCTCTTGCACCATTTACTTAGTCACCCTTTCTTTTCTGTCTATAGCAGTCTATCTTTTCTATCTCTTTCTTTTAATTGTTTGTCAGCCATTTCTTATTGGTACATTATGCTCAATGGTCTTTGAAGGTTTCTATATGCCTGCTGTAATTTGTTATGTTGGTGGTGATTTGTGGGTGTTTATTTTGTTTATCCTGCTTTATATGTTGCAGACAAACAATCCAAAAATGGACTGATAAAGTTTTCAGTTAAATTTTTTCTTCATTCCAGTGGAAATATTGCAGCAAAGTTTCAATATGACCAGGTTTTACTGACTAAACTACTTGCAGAGTATTGATTTTATTATTCAATCTTGAATCCTTTGCAAACAAGGCTTTGTCTTTGTTTGACCATATACACGTGTCATTGTAGAGCTCCGGGATCATGCCTTGGACTTTGTTTTGCATCAGGTAGTAATTGCTGCTTTTCGAAAAATCCCTAAATCTTCTTGGAATGCAAAAGAACGGTATGTTTCTCCACCCTTCATCCAATTTGTTTGTTTGTGCACTGCATACCAGTGTGAGTATGTATTAGTTTTCTTGATTGGCTACTTTGTTGCCTTAGCCATATAAACTTTGAGCCTGCAGGTTATGGGTATTCCCACTGTCTTCCTTGTCAGAGGCGGAGAAGTTTCTTGGAGATGTATCAAGTTATAATGTTCAGGTAACGGCTGCTTCCTTATTTCCCTTTCTTTGTAGTTAGGAAATTCATGTTAGTATGCTACTATATACCATCATGAGAGAAACAACCTTGACATACACAAAGTTCCTTTTCATAATAATTATGTTACCTTTAGTATGAGTCTTGGATCAATAGTAAGACTGATACCAGTGCCTTCATTTGTGAAGGAGGGCTTGTGTCCCTTCTGATTATCTCAGAAAAACCCTCAAGTCATTTGATGATTGTACTGGCTGTTTGAGTATAAGATAGTAAGTGGTCTTTTTTGTAGCTTCCTTTTTCGTTTTGTTAACTGATTGGTTTTTTATGTGGTTCTTCTGAATTATTTTATTTGGAGAGAAACTAGTGGACATGAGTTTCAAACCTTTTCTGTGTATATTTGAGGAAATCCATGATGCATCTTTTTGCCCTGAATTCTGATATACTTTTTCGGTTTCCTTTTTTTTTTTTTTCTTTTTAATTCATTTTTGTTTCAAGGCATTTTCGCCCTTTTGCCTGTTGCCAATTACAACTTTCTTCTCCCTGTTTTTTAACAATGGATGTTTTAATAATGGAAAAGTAAACCATCCTATGTGAATAATAGGACAAGGAGATTCAAAGGTTGGATCTGGGATCATTGATTCTGTAAATGTTTATTCATTTAGTAAGAAAAACATGTTATCCTAGAGTAAGCTTGTATACTCGATTTTTGTGTTTAAGGGTCTTGTTTTTTGGACATTATTTTGTTTCTTAACTTCATCTCTATATCTTTTAGTTTTCTTCATTCATTTAAAAAAATTGAATAATTTTATAGGTTGAAAACTTAGATCCCTTAGTGCAACGTGCCATTGCTGCAGCTTCTGCAGTTCCAGATCTTCAAGGTATATACTGAATATTTTCGTTATCAATTTGTTCTCTCTTTTCTAGGTTGGAAGACTTTAGGTTTACTTTGTGTTTTGTTTTTTAATGAAAATTTCTGAAGTTGCTATTTTTGGCTGCTTTACTGAAAGATCGTTACTGCAAGATCCCTAGTTATATTGAATCAAAGCTATTGCCATTTCAGCGAGAAGGTGTTAGGTATGTAGTGACTTACTCACTTTTTTCTCTCTCACTATTCTCATAAATATGGATCAGTACAGTTATTGTCTTTTATTTTCCTTGTCTATTTGTTTTTTTTTTCTCATGTATTCATTTTAGTTATTATTTGTTTTCAGGTTTATATTGCAGCATGGGGGACGTGTTCTCTTAGCAGATGAAATGGGACTAGGGAAAACCTTGCAAGTAATTCACTGTCTAAAATTATTTCCATGTTTGCACTGTGCATCATGGTGCATAAAAGTGTTTTGCTTCTTTAAAACAAACATAAAATTGTTTGTGGTGGAAATAAAATGTTGGCAGGATTTGTGCTCTTCTAATATCTATTGTCGGGTCATAAATTTGGTTAGCTATTTTTCTTCTGTAAATAAAAAAGTGCATCTCAGTGTCTTAAATGTTAATTGACTCACGTCACGATAGAAATCATCCTTAATGATACAGTAATCTGTCTAACTTAAATAACAATAGTTCACATAAATAACATCGCAGTCACAGTAGCACTGGTGTAGTAGTGAGTAGCACCCATTTGTTGTAATTTAGGGTTGTGTATCGTGTCAGAGTTATGATCTTTACTTTGGTTGTTAATTCGTTATGACGGCAACTCTTTGTTTACCAGTATTGAATGTAGAATTTATTATTGGAGAAAGTTTCTTAATACATTCTTTTACCAGTATTGAATAGCACCCTTTCTTTTTACTTGTTCCTTCTATTTCTTTTCTCCTTATTTCATTCCTCATCCAAACAAAATGTCAAGGAAAGTATGGAATATTTATTCAATTCGACTACCATATTATATAAGTGTTCTACCTTTATTTTTTCTTGACTTCTGTGTCAACAACCAAAAGTTAATTGTGACTGGTGCTTAGGCTAAGCTAATTGAAACACTTCTTTTGCAATCTCCTCTTAAAAGTCCATTTCCAAAATAAACACTTGCCAAAATACATATACCACTAGCCAGAATCCGGGCATCACATATCTAATCCAATAATATTCGTAGGAGGTAATAGCGTCCATAATACCAAAACCTTTTTGATTGGAGGATGTTCAAGATAAAAAATAAAATCAAATTGTCATCAAAACAAGAGAGGTCTTACAAAATTGCTAGAATGATTTCTGTTACGATATTTATCCTATTTTATCATCATTATATTGTGTCAAGGGTTACCCTATTTATCATGATTATATTGTGTTAAGGGTTACCCTATTTATCATGATTATATTGTGTTAAGGGTTACCCTATTTATCATGATTATATTGTGTCTAGGATTACCCTATTTATCATGATTATATTGTGTCTAGGGTTACTCTATTTATCATGTATTTTTGTATCAATTTATTCTTATAAATAGAAGATTGTGAGAGGGATCAATCAAGCCCTCTAGAATTATTTTACAGTTTAATTCTCAAGTTGGCATCAGAGCGGGTCGATCTCGCTCTGGTTTCTGTCTCGTAATATTTGTCCGATGCCACAGTCCGTCGTCGTCCGCCACCATCCGCCGTCGGCCACCGTCCGCCGCCGGCCACCGTCGTCTATCGCTGTCACAGTTCCGTTCGTCTAAACCCTTAGGGTTTTCTTGTTCCTCGCTGGTACTATTCGTCTTCTTCAGAAATGGCGTTTGGCAGTACTATTTCTTTCTCCGGAAGTCCATCAATTACCTCCGAGAAGCTAAATGGAAAAAATTATCTATCATGGTCTGCTGCCGTTGAAATGTGGTTCCTTGGCCAAGGGCATTATGACCACCTTGAGCGAGATGGAAGCCATGTGCCTACTGAAAAAGTTGACCAGTGGAAACAAGCAGATTTCCAGTTGTGTGCCCTGTTATGGCAATCAGTGGAACCCAAACTTCTTGTATCTTTGAGGGCTTTCAAAAGTTGTCACTCCTTTTGGAAGAAAGCCCAAAACATTTATGCCAACGATATTCAATGACACTACGAACAAGCTTGCATCTCTTAAAATGGCAGACCATGATATGGTGTCCTTCATGGCTG